AATTCCCAGGAAAATGCAGGGTTACCCCTGGAAAGGAGTAAGACCATATTCAAGCACACTTTGGCCTTAAGCACGGTTCCTTGCTATTCTCATTTGAAATATCTCTATAGAATAATTATCTCTATGTAGGCAATCCCGATGGTAAATTTTGCTGCAATCTTTGATTTTTAGCAGGTGGGAGAGTTTAACTGGACCCCAGGACCAGGGAGCTCCTTCACTTCTCACATCTCCTTAACTTTCTGTCTGTCTTGCCTTAGAATCTAAGCTTTTAGTTTTAAAACTTATGGCAAACAAGCAAACTGACTTGTTTTATTATGTAAAGGAGGTAGTTGAGCCCAGTTTGATCATGCTGTGTGCAGCTTAGCAAATGTGAGACCAACAGGGCCACAGAGTGAAACCTTGCCTCAAAATAAATAAATAGCCGGGCGGTGGTGGCGCACGCCTTTAATCCCAGCACTCGGGAGGCAGAGCCAGGTGGATCTCTGTGAGTTCGAGGCCAGCCTGGACTACCAAGTGAGTTCCAGGAAAGGCGCAAAGCTACACAGAGAAACCCTGTCTCAAAAAACCGGAAAAAAAAAAAAAAAAAGAAAAATAAATAAATAAATAAATAGATGAAAGATCAAACTTCTATTTTTTGAATTTCAACCATTTTAGTAAAATTAATGTTGCTCCCATATTAATGGGATTCTAGTAGCAATTATCTTCAAATAATGTGTACTTTAAAACAGTGGTTCTCCAAACAATGTATACTTTACATTAAAGCAATGGTTCTCAACCTATGGTCATGACCCCTTTAGTGACCACATATCAGATATTTACATTACAATCCATAAAAGTAGCAAAATTGCTGTTATGAAGTAACAATGAAGTAATTTTATGGTTGGGGGTCACTACAACATGAGGAACTGTATTAAAGGGTCACAGCATCAGGAAGGTTGAGAACCACTGCAAAAGAATGTTCTTTCCCTTCATGTTAGAAAGTGCACAATGTGCTGTATGAATCTGTTTCAAAGAGTTAATTGAAAAAACTTGAACCTGGGATAAATCTTGTTGTTTCGTTTTTGCACATTCGTGGTTATTGAAGCACTGTTTACAACAGCCAGGTTATCACTTGGAATAAATCTATTTATTCTGATCTCTTCCTAAGCTGATTTGGGAACTAGGACCAGTGCTTGGTATAGAGCTGAGCTATAATGAAGTGAAATAATGAACTGAAAATTGGCATTGAGTTTGCATGCTCCTGGGCTAGCACTTAAGAGATTTAGGGGCTATTCTCTCAGCTTTATAAATTATGTTTTAAATTTACTGATGGTGGGAAATAGGGCTTAATTTTCTACTTTTCTCAATCCCTCTTTACACTGTAGGTTCTCAGTAAGCACTTGTTGAATGCCTATGTTCAGGGTTTACATCACTCGCTATTTGGGCTATCTTAGTCGTTGCTGCCGTTCTAATCCTTACAGAATGTGGAAGTGAAATATTTCTTTGGGGATGGATCCCCTACCTTTTTCCTTTTTGTGGTGCTGGGGATCAAACTCAGGCTCTCTCCCATACTGTGTAAGCTCTCTTCCACTGTCCTTCCCTTCCAGTCTCGGAAACGTTACCCTTCCGAGATACTGTCTAATGCATTTCTTTAGCATTTGTTTGTCTTCAGTAGTGCTGATGAGGACTTGACTGGCTTATTATATATTGGGCAGAAAAGCAGAACCAAAGAGGGAAGTGAAAGGGGAAAAAATAGAAAAAAAAATGCACCTATTTGGGGAATAGAACATGTTACTCGCATCTGTGTCGCAGTCAATGGCATGTTGATAGCAGTTGTCTAAATGCTTATTATTAATGCAGTTTTTGTTTAAAAGGGAGAAGTTCAAAAGGTGACTTTTTTTAAAAAAGAAAAGAAAAAGTATTTTTAGTTTATTGAGAGGAATAACAGTACAACTGAGCACTTCTCAATACAGAGTTCTAATGTATGCACCACTATTTTTAATCCCTGTGTAAACTGGTGAGATGGGTGTTAATGTTTTGCTTTTGCAGGTGGGAAAATAGTGGCATAGAGCTTTAAATGGATAGTGCTAAATCACATAGAATGGCAGATACTGGATTTCTGATGCAAAACCTTATTTCCTTTCAATCCTCCCATAAATATTACAATTAGAAAATCAGGATAAGTTTGGCTTGGGTGTGGTTCAGGGGTAGAGCACTCACTCACCTAGCACCCGTGATGTCCTGTACTCATCAGTAGAGAGAAAGAGGGAGTGGGGGAGAAAGGAGGGGGGAGCAGGAAAAGAATGAATTAGAAAAGTTGGTGGAAGAGTCCATTAAACAAATCAGGAATGATACACAGCACTGGCTTAGTGTCCACGGTAACATGAAATGGGAGAAGATGAAAGACAACGGAAGGGGATGTGACAAAGAGCAGGACAGCCAGCACAGCACTGTGGGGAAGAGGATCAGCTCAGATTTGGACAACCTCAGTCCTGACAGTCCATGACTGGTTCCTTGTGCTTCTCATCTTTCTGTGTACGATGACCACGCTAACAGTAACTTAGAGGGTAAAGAAGTATGACAACTGCTTTTACAGCTCACAATCGATCTCATTTTGTGTAGTTCTTTGCATTTTATAGTGAAATATTCATACAGAAATTGCGTTAAACACAGAGAGAGAGAGAGAGAGAGAGAGAGAGAGAGAGAGAGAGAGAGAGAGAGGAGAGAGAGAGAAAGAGAGAGCTATCTATAGAGCCAATATCCCTGTAACTAGAATTGGACTGAAGGTGTTGAACACCGCCATTACCAGATGTCCTGTCTTTCCTGTTACAACCCCTCATTGTCCCTCTAGTGTGTCCTCTCGGCATCAGAAGGGATGCTGTTGTGCCTAGGTAGTTTCTTGGTAGGACGTTGTCTCGTGCGTTGTTAGATATTTAGCAATCTCACTGATCTCTGCCCTTTGAATGTCAGTACACACACACATCCTCCCCCAAATCATACCAATTAATTGGAGGACGTCAAATCCTTCTTTATATTGCTCTGTTCTACAGCTCTTTATATGCTCTTCATGGTAGAATAGACTATAAGACAGGGCTAGTATCAGGGAGCTCCACTCAACTGTTGTAGTTTTTTATTTTCATTAAATATTGTTTGGGGAGCCTGACTGCAGAAAGAGATGTAGCTGAAGTTCTTTATAATCTTTTCTGAACTGGAAGTTGTCTTAGATTCTATATGCTACTCCTATTGAAATATAGACTTTGATTTTAGATAATTTTAATTCTGCAGGTGATGATTTTTTAGTGAAAATTGAGTAAGCGAAACCAAACATATTTGAGCAAATGAATTATTCTAGAGTATAACAGAATAGTAACACTTGTTTTAGATTTCTGGAATAATAATATAATAGAAATTCTGATCCAGTAGATGAAGAAGACCGTGTAGACTCTGCTCTTAACCTTCTCAAAGTCCTGTTTTCAACAGATTCTCTTAAACCATGAATACCCAAGGATGACAGTAGAGTACATTTCAAGCATTTTTTTTTTTTTTTTTTTTTTGGTTTTTCGAGACAGGGTTTCTCTGTGTAGCTTTGCGCCTTTCCTGGAACTCACTTGGTAGTCCAGGCTGGCCTCGAACTCACAGAGATCCACCTGGCTCTGCCTCCCGAGTGCTGGGATTAAAGGCATGCGCCACCACCGCCCGGCCATTTCAAGCATTTTAAATTTTGTTATATACCAGTAAAAATAAAAATAGTACATTCTCATAAAAAGAAAACAGTTGTAACTTTGTAAGAAATGGTGATGGTCTGATTCTGGATCTCTTTGAAGGAAAAGGCAATAAGATATCCTAATGGATTAGATGCTGGGAGTATGAAAAAGCAGTCACCGATGATTCCAAGAATTTTGATTGGAGCAATCAGAAGGACAAAGATTCCACTAATTGAAGTTAGGAAAACAGTATGCATATGGTTTTTTGAGGAAGAAAATCAAGTTTGGCCGGGCAGTGGTGGCACATGCCTTTAATCTCAACACGTGGGAGGCAGAGGCAGGCGGATCTCTGTGAGTTCGAGGCCAGCCTGGTCTACAGAATGAGAACTAGGACAGGCACCAAGGCTACACAGAGAAACCCTGTCTTGAAAAAAACAAAAACAAACAAACAAACAAAATCAAGTTTGGAACATGCTAAATTGGAGTTGTGATTATGTGCAGTTAAAGTGCTGAGTAGCCAGTTGGATGTACAAGTGTGGATTCAGGAGAGATGTTTGGCTACAAGTATTACTGTAGAAGCTGGCATGCGTAAATCTACTGAATTTTCTATAGTTGAAGGGTTTTATCTTCATACCACCTAGTGTGGTAGCCACTAGTCAAGGTATTAAGAAAACTTATCTTCCATTTACTTCCTGTAATGGAATTACAATTACTCCCATTTACTTCTTTGAGGGTAAACTTTTGAGTCTTGTCTTTAGGGGGACCTGAGTCTCTGTTGCCCTAAGTCTTACGGCTTTGAAGACATGAGCTCAAATTCTGATAAAGCAGCCGTTCCCTGCAGCTATTTCAATGTTTCTTTTCTTTGCTGTCAACTTACCTAACTTCACTCTGTATTTTAAGATTTCCAAAATATTGTTTTCCAATGTTGGGTCCAAATAACTAAATCTGTCATATTCTTGGAAATTAATTGTAAGCGGAAAGATAAGAAATTTCCAGGACAGGTACCAAAACTACACAGAGAAACCCTGTCTCAAAAAACCAAAAAAAAAAAAAAAAAAAAGAGAGAGAGAGATTTCAAGTTAGTAATATTTCTGATAAATATGTCAATCATAGACCTCATTTAAGTCATGATAGCTTTATACCTATAATCCCAGGCTTGCTTAAGAGCTGGGGACCAACCTGAGTAACAGTGAGCTATCTTTATAAATGGTACCTTCGGCAAATTCCCATACTTTCCTATTTCTTTTGCATGCAAATATATTGTATAGTAAAATATTTTTAAGATTAACCTTAATTACCATTTTCTGGTTTATATAGGACTAACTTCCTCAGTGCCTAGAATCTAAGAAAAATGGCAAATGTGGATAGTGACTCTAGGCATCTTATCCCCGAGGAAGAAAATGAAGTAAATCCTGGACCTATGAATATCCAGTTTGATTCATCAGATCTAAGATCTAAAAGGTAAGACTTCGATGCATTTATTTCATAATAAGAGCTTCTAACAATTAAGATTTAATAAATTACAGACAAAAAGATGAACAGGATTGATAATGAAATGCCTATTTTCTTACAGACTTATACTCTGATGTATGTGTATATGATGATATGAATACTATTTCCTCGTTTACATAGTTTTGTGTTTCGGACTAAACTCAACATGTCTGTCTTATCAAGTAAGATGCATCTATGTAATTGACTCAACTATGTATTGATCACCCACTTCATGCAAAGTAATCAGATGCTAGAAATAGAAAAGGAATAGTCTTTACTTTCATTGACTTTAAATACCCACAGATAATCTAAAATAATTTGGGATTAAATAATCGTTCAGTTTATAACTGAAAACCTCAAAAGAATTTCTTGAAAAAAATGTAACAGCATGGGGTTGGGGATTTAGCTCAGTGGTAGAGCGCTTGCCTAGCAAGCGCAAGGCCCTGGGTTCGGTCCTCAGCTCTGAAAAAAGAAAAAAACAGTGTAACAGTAAGTGAGTTCAGTGAAGTGGTTATGGGGTAGAAAGATGAAGATGCTGCAGTAAGATGCTTGCTGTGCAAACATGAGGACCTGAGACTGTGTCCTAGCAACCACAGAAGCTAGATGTGAGCCCATGCACACCTTGAAACCCAAGGATGAAGGCGTTAGAAACAGGAGGAGCACTAGGACTTGCTGCCTGCCAGCCTAATCAAAAAACATGAGTTCCAGATTAATAAGAGACAATGCCCTCCTGTGGCCTCAGTGCATAGTTGTAGACACACATACCCAAAGTGGTTACTTATAAATTGGGCAAAAATATGACCAAAAATGATGGGACACATCTATCATCTAGCACTCAAGAGGCAGAGGCAGGAGCATTGTGAGATTAAGTCTAGCCTGAGCTACCCAGTGATACCTTGTCTATTTAAAAACAAACAAAAACCAAGGAACTAGCAAGATGGGTTAGCAGGAAAGGCATTTGCCACTAAGCCTGACTGCTTGAGTTAAATCCCCAGGATTCACATGACAGAGGGAGAGAACTTACCCAGTATTAGTTGTCCTCTGACCTCCAAATATGCACAGTAGCACTTGAGTGTACACACGCACACTAAATAAATCGATAGAAAAGAAAATTTAAGGTAAAAATAATTAGCCTTCCCCCAATGAAATTAACAAGAAAAAAAAATATAAAATATGCTTAGAGTAGTTTTAACAGGAATGTACAAAAATCTATGAGAAAAACTAAAATGTTCCTGAAAGATGTAACATAGGATTTGGAGTATTTCATCAAATCTGAGATGCTATTGATTATTAATTGCATTTAAAATATACAGAGCTGGGCATAGTGGTGCACGCCTTTTATCCCAACACATATGAGATAGAGGCAGGCAGATCTCTGTGAGTTCAAGACCAACTTGGTCTACAGAGTGAGTTCCAGGACAACCAGAGCTAGGGCTACAAAGTGAGAACCATCTTGAATATATTAGATAGATAGATGGATAGATGGATGGATGGATGGGTGGATGGATACATATATACATACATACATACATACATACACAGGCAGACAGATAGATAGAAAAATAAATAAAAATATGCAAAGAGGGGCTGGGGAGAGAGCTCAGTGGTTAAGAGCGCTGGCTGTTCTTCCAGAGGACCTAGATTTGATTCCCAGAACCCACATGGTGGCTCCCAACCATCTGTAATTCCAGTCTCGGAAGCTCTGACGCCCTCCCTGTGGCCCTTTAACACCAGGCGTGAACATAGTGCACAGACATTCTTTCAGACAAAGCATCTATACACATAAAAAGATCATTTCACAAAACTTAACACACACAACCACAATGGGTCTATGTGTACTATATATGTGAAAAACTGGACTTGGAATTTTTGCTTTGTATTCATTGAAAGAACCCTTGACTATATTGGTTATTTTCTCATTTATCTCGTATATTATTATAAAATTGATAATATAAATGAAGTGCATTGGTTAAGGTATTATTGAAACCTCACACTTAGAAAACCTGATTCTAGCCGGGCGGTGGTGGCGCACGCCTTTAATCCCAGCACTTGGGAGGCAGAGCCAGGCGGATCTCTGTGAGTTCGAGGCCAGCCTGGGCTACCAAGTGAGTTCCAGGAAAGGCGCAAAGCTACACAGGGAAACCCTGTCTCGAAAAACCAAAAAAAAAAAAAAGAAAAAAGAAAACCTGATTCTTCTGGACCACTTCTTTTTTTTTTTTTTTTTTTTTTGGGTTTTTCGAGACAGGGTTTCTCTGTGTAGCTTTGCGCCTTTCCTGGAACTCACTTGGTAGTCCAGGCTGGCCTCGAACTCACAGAGATCCGCCTGGCTCTGCCTCCCGAGTGCTGGGATTAAAGGCGTGCGCCACCACCGCCCGGCCCCTGGACCACTTCTTGATTTAGAGTCATCAAACAGTTGTGTGTCCCATCCCCACCCCATCTCACTCCACCTTCCCCCCCATACAGAATTGTCCTTTTGCCATAACGTGAGTCAGTGACTTTGATGATGCAGCCTTCTTTGATGTTCTTAGGAAACAAATGAGGACGCTGGCAGGTTTTCACACTTGCACTGTAATGGTCTTACCAGAAGGTGTCATGGGAGCTCTTCTCACGTAGGACTCCCACTTCTTCCTCAAATGGTCCTTCAGGAGTTTGACTGAAATGGCCAGGGGTGACAGCTATTTGTCAGCACACCACCAGAAATCACTACCACATGACTACCTGGTCAACAGAGATTAAGACGTGTTAAAGATTATGCGGTACCCTCATTTAGAAATGTTGAAATGCATATATTAAACATACACGTGTAAAATATAACATAAAGGAAGTCATATTCTGCTCCAGGTCAAAACAATAAAAATTAGACTTTTTACATTTTAATCCAGGGGAGAGGCTCCATGGGTAAAGTGTCACAAACATGAGCACCTGAATTTGGACCCGCAGCACCCATGTCAAATTCAGGAGCTGTGGTGTATACCTGTAATCACTATACTGGGAGGCAGAGACAGATGGCGTCTAGAGATCGTTGGCTAGCTAGCTTAGACAAATTGATGAGCTCCAGGTTCAGCGAGAGACCATCTCAAAAAAAAAGGAAAAAAAGTGGAAGCTGTTGAAGTAGACAACTGATGTTGACCTCTGGCCTTTTATACTTGTGCCCACATATGCATGTACACACACGTGCACATACACAGGTGCACACACACATGTGCACACACCCACACAAATGTGCACCCACAAATTTAGTGTGATCCTGCTCCCGAATACTGGCAGCCAACTCTGAAGTTGCTGTGTATCAGCAATCTTACTGCTATCCACACTGATTCACAGTGTCAAATGATGTATGTACAGGGTTGTGTAAGTTGCTAAGACTGAAAGCAACTAAAACATCTTTTCTTCCAGGACTGAAAACTAAATTATGGCATATTCATACAATGGAATATTTTCATCTAATACAAAGGAGATGGCTTTATGATATATAAAAATGGAACAACTCTTCAACTTATTTTGTTAAAAGAAAAAAAAGAAATGCAGAGCAGTATGTATAGTATGCATACTATACATAGTATAGTAAAAATAAATCAATAAAGCCGGGCGGTGGTGGCGCATCCCTTTAATCCCAGGACTGGGGAGGCAGAAGCAGGAGGATCTCTGTGAGTTCGAGGCCAGCCTGGTCTACAGAGTCAGATCCAGGCCAGGCACCAACACTACACAGAGAAACACTATCTCAAAAAAAAAAAAAAAAAAAAAAAAAAAAAAACCAAAAAAAAAAAAACCAAAACAACAACAACAAAACTACTACATTATAGACAACATGGTATGTGTAAATGAAGTCTGGAGAAGAAATACATGGCTGAGAAACTGAACAGCTGAGGTAAGGTAGTTTGGTAAATAGTGGTAGTAGAAACCCAACACCTAGTCCATTACCGCTCTCACTCCCTATCAGCAGAATCCTAGTTAAAGAGTTTCGGCCATTTCCCGCCTAGGAGATAAGAAGGATTACTGTGAGCTGATCATGATGGTATTGTTACCATTTTTCAGTCTTTCTTGTATCTAAAGATAGCAGTGTGAAGTTTATCATGCAAGAAATTTGTCATTGTTATTAGTAGTGGCTATTAGAAGAAATTGATATTGTGAGTTTCACTTGTATATTCTAATATTAGTTAATACAAGCACTAATAAATGCTGACTGAATGCCTAGAGTTTTCTTGAAACTTCTAAGTTCTGTGATAAATAATTGACCACTATGACAATAGAACATAGGTCATGAAAGTGCATTCCATTACAATAAGTCGGCAGGAGTTCAGTTCCTTGGAAATTTAATCTAACAGGGGAGATTAAATGGAAATACCTTTTCTATAATGAAATTTGTCAGAAGAAGGAATCCGCTGTTTTCAATCCTGGCGTGACTGGTAAGCATGTATGAAGGAAGACAGCCACTTGTCAGAACTTAGCAGTCCTCTTTGCTTTTGCTTGTGGGGTTATTTCTGTTTGAGAAAGCAGAAACTATTTGATGAAGAAGAAATGTGTACTGTGAGACATTGTTTCTGCAGAGATACGGATCCTCCCTCTCTTACATGTAAAGAAAACCCAGACACTGTGTCTTCCCGGAGGAGATCCCACTTAGACAGCTATTCCCAAGCTTCAGTCCTTTGAGTCACTTTGGTGCTATCCCTGTACCATGGATGTAGTGTAACTGGATGTTTCTTAACAACCTGCTCACCTTTTCAAATCAGGGTTCATTTAACCTCATCTCATATTTGTGAAATGAGGACTTTACAGTGTTTATACTCTTCTAATTTATATTGCCATGTATCCCAGCTAGTTAGCATTCATGATTGTAGTGCCAAGAATCCTCTTACGTGTGGGAAATGGTGTGGCTGGAGGGAGATAGAAAACAGCATTAGATGTTTGAGGAATACTTCTACAATTAGCTTCTGTTATTTTTCTCTCTCCCACTAGGTGGCAATCAAATC